GATGTAGCAAAGATTGTGTCCAGATTATCTGAAATTGACACTGAAGAAGGTAAGGGTGGAAACCGGTTTCATTTTTCAGAGGGTTGGAAGGCTGAGCTGCGCCCGCCGGCGGCTCCCGCTCCGGGAGTAGGAGGGTGGGGGAGTGATTATGTATGCACCAGCTAATTCTTCCATCAAAACTTCTTGTCAGCGATGTCAGGATTATTTTTTTTTTCCTTTTTATAAAAACACTTGATGTTTCAGGAAGTGTTAATCCCTGAAGGTTGGGGGATGAGGGCGGGAAGTAAGAAAGGAGTGGGTGGGGGTGACATGTTTCTTTAGCCTGGGGAAGCACCCTTTAGAACCGCTTGGCAGTCCACAGTGGAGTTGGGGTTTGTTGTGGAGCGGGGAACCTAAGGAGGATTTCTTTGAGTCATGGGAGGGAAAGACCCTTACCCTCTGTACTGCATTTGATGGAAGTTCCTATGGCCCTGAGGGATCAGGAGTAGAAAAGTTCGCTTGAGCCTTTGATTTCAGGATGATTAACCCATTCGGTGGGATGACAAAAAGTAGAGAATCCTGAAATCGGTTTTTTAAAGATACAGAATGAAAGAGATGCAGAGCAGGATTAAAAAAAAAAAAAAATACATAGCAGGAGGCCTGGGTTGCTTCATTCTGCTCAGTTTTTCTTGGGAATCAAGTATCTTAGGTTCTATATTCAACCCCCAGACCTAGCTTTCTTTTGGTGACAGAAATTGATAATTTCTTCAAGGGGAGAGATTTCTACATCAAATGACTCTAAGAATAAGTTCGTACTTCTGTGCAAATAGGTGGGAGGATTTTTAAAACTTTTTTGTGGCTCTTAAAACTAGTGCAGAATAAGAAAGACTGAAGAGCCATCTGTTCAAGCCCAGGTGCAGATCCCAAAAAGAAAACATAAACATAAAACATGATAGCTAATAAAAGAAAGCTGGGAACTATATAAACATGTTTCCCATTTTATATTTTTTAAGTGTTGCCTAGAGTTAGGAGCTGGCTTCTCCCACAATTAGACTAGTAGCAGGACCACTCAGTTTCAGGCTTATGAAACCCAAGACCAGTGAGGAGGGGACTTTGGATAGTTGCTTTTGCCCCTCCACCTCTACCCCTACCCCTTTTTGAGCAAGTACGCCTGAGAGAAGATATTAAAGAGGTATCTGTTGTTTGGCAATTTTGCTAAGTCTGTCTTCATTACTTCAACGCTGTGCATTTGCTAATTTGGAGGCCCGGCCATTGACAAGCTTGCTCCATACACCTGCAAGCAATTTGCAGGCTCCGGTACCGGAGAATTGCAGAGATGGCAGCTCGCACCTATTTGATTTTTTTCCCCCTTTTCTCAATGCACAGCAAATTTGGCTTTCAGTGCGTTATCTCTTTTGTTAATGCAAAAAGATTCCCTGGGCGAAAAAATTGCTCATAATTACCAGAGAGATGGGGAAACTGCATTAGAATAAATAAACCTGAAATTACTGTAATTATGTTGTGTTTGATGGGCCCGGCTTGTAATCAAGAAGAGAATACAGTGAAATGATGCTGACCCTCTTGGGTTTGCAGCTGTACACGCACTTTGGGGTCTTTTTTTGCAGAAAAGAGTCATTTTGATAATCATTAAGCTGTGTGTAACCTATTTCAGAAGTGTTTTAAAATGAGGTTCACATTTTTTGAACAAGGGGGAAAAATCCCAAAATTGCATTTTGCCATTACAGACTCATAGATAAGGAAAGGTTGTGTTTTCTAAGTGACAATTGTTAAGACATAATATTCAAAATCAGTATTTAATCATTATAATGAGGTATTGTTTAAATATAACCACCTTTAGATTATTCATAGTTTAATTAATATACTCATTATGAAAATCTTTGAATCAGATATTTGATGAACTACTTGTCAGTAACAAGGCAGCATTAATTAGGCCTATATTGAGATTAACATTTTTAAAAGTACAACCGCTTATAATTATAATAGAGCCTAACTAAAGACCGCCTTCGTTGAGCTAAAACTAATAATTTCTCTATTTGGACTGTTAGCAAGAGATTATTAAATTAGTATAAGCTAATATCTCAAAGTATTAAAATCCGCTTGACCAAATAGAGTTTGCCTGTGGCTTCAGGCATTGGGCCCTGGCTGCCGTCTGAGGAACCTGAGTCGGACACGTGAGTTAAATCTGCCAAAATCTCCCCGCTAGCAAAGTCGCATCTTGCAGGCAAGTCAAATGCAGGAAGGTCCCTGTCTCGGTGGCGCCAGGAGTACAACCTGGGCAATCAGTTCCCTCTTTCAGCTTCTAGGTCGGTCTGCGCGCGCATCTTGGTCTCCCAGGTCTTAGTTCCCCCGTTAGCGCTCCAGGTTCTGGGGAAACTGCGGGAGAAGAAAAGCCCCAATCCCAGGCCCAAAAAGGGCCTCGAGGTCCCGAGTTCCATCCCCCACTACCTCCCTGCTTTCTCCACCACCTCCCCGCCCCCTCCGCCACTTTCCCTCCCCTTCCCAAAGGGCGTCGGAAGAGCCCGGCGCATCTGATCTTTCACCAGCACCAATTGAAAAATGGGTGCTTGTCACAACACAGATCACTGCCTTCCTCGCTCTGCTCCCCACCGCGCGCTGCAAAGGGTCCCCCAAAGGCGGAGGGCTAGTGTCGGAAGGCGGTTGTGAGAAAAGCGGGAATCGCTCAAAGCAGCCCGTCGGGGCCCACAACTTTCCCAAACTTCCCCAGCTCAGCTGCGGTATCTGGGGTTGAGGCAGGGCTGAGACTCCGGGACTCCGGGCGAAGGAGGAGGCCAGGGTGGTTCTACCTGCTCCCAGCTAACGTTCATCTGGAGCGAACTGATCTGAGGGGTTCACTGGAGGTGCCCCCTTAATGGCCTGGCTTGGAGACTTTCCGGCTGGGATAGGGGGCTCCACTCCGCAAGCTCTCTGGTTCCAAAGAGTCAACGGCGCCCACCGGATCCTCCTCTGGCCACTCTGTTTCTCTCAGGCGCAGAGAAAAAGCCCGGGATCCTTAGGCGGGAATGGGCCTCTTCTTGTGCTTGGGGCCTTGTGGATGGGAGTGGCCGTAGAGCGCCCCAGTGGTGCCGTGAGACTGTCCCCCGGAGCTCACTGATTGATTGGGGGTTAGCCTGACAGACGTATCCTTCCGGCCCCTTTCCGGCGTCTGGCAGCGTCTTTTCCGCGTCGAGATCCAGCGCCCTCCGGGCAAGCAGAAGCCCGGAGGCCAGATCCCCACGGAGGCGAGGGGCAAAGCCGGGGGTCTCCGTTTCCAGGCTTCTAGGCCTCCCGCAAGGTGACTGGGCAAGTGTGTGTTACGGAGGAGGAGGGGTTCACTCAAATCTCCCAGGCCGGCTGTCTTTGAGTTCTGCTTTGATCTCCTCTCAGACGGCCTTCTCAGTCCCTTTGGTTCCTGAGCCCTGGCTCTGCCATGTGGCACCTGTTCCTGATCCTCCTTCCCAGAGACTCTCCTAACCCAGGTGGGGGTCAGACCCCTTGGCGGTCGGGATATAGGCGCTAGGCAAGAAGAACCGTCCCAGCAGGCCTAGCCCCTTATCCTACCCTCGTTGTCTGGAGTCAGAGTCGCTGCCCCTGCGTTGTATCCCCAGAGGTGGAAGCCTGGCCCGGCCCCCAGCACCCCCTCACACAGCACACCATAGAGCAGCTCTTTCTCGAAACCATAATTTTACTGTGTCAAAGAAACTTTATAACTTATTTACAAAGTTCTTTTTTTCCAAGATACAAAGCAATAAGTTAACATTCTCAATATAAAACTAAACTTTGACATAGAGAACACAAAACATGGTTGATTTCAACTGATCACATTTTCCAAATTTCACAAGTAAAATGTCAAGATTCTCATTTCACAAAGCATCAGGTTTTACAGCCACACAAAACGGAACGGAAAAAAGCTAAGCTTGTGCAACATGTTTACAGAACAATAATAATAACGATAATAATTAATAACAACAATAATATGTACAGCGATTAGATCCTGCACTGGAGACTCTGAGTTCAGGGTGGTGACTGGCATTATTCTGGTTGAGCCTCTGGTATTGTTGTAAAGATGCTTTTATCTTACTTTAAAGCCCATTGCATTTGGGCCCTCGCTCACACCCGCCTGCTTTCTCACTGCTGCCCATGGGTCCTCTCTCTCTCTTTCTCCCTAAGGAGAGAATTCAGATGTTCCTTCTTGTCCAGGCAAGGAGACTAAGCGTTCTTCTTGAGATGAGAAATTGTGTTGGCTTCATTTCTTTGTTTTTAATTCGGCACATGTAAAACCAACCTCTCCATACCAGCGAAGTACAAAAGTTACTGTATAAGTTAAAGATCACCAGGACCTCCTTATTCATTTTTCCGGGTGCGTTTAAAGTAATCAGTATGTTTGGACAGTGCATCCCTCATGCCCTACAAGAACCGAGCACTGGACAACATTCAGCCTCAGGCGAAGCCCATTTCTCAATAAATAAACCCCCCTTCCTCCAATTTTCCCCAATTCCCTAATGAGCTACACAGATGTTTAGGCTGGCCCAGGAAAAGGTCTGAAGGAACAAAACATCCAAGTATCCAGAACTGGGTGCCGGGTGGACCGCCCCTCCTGGGACCTGGTGACTTTTTTCAGAGGTTGCAGAATGAGGACAGCGGACAGAGGAGGGCCTCGACTTGTCAGCGTACAAATACAGAGCGAAAGGAGACAAGAGACGGACAGGACAGAAAATAGCTTTTGCTTTTTCTACATTGCTTTTGTTTTTTTCCTGATAGTCCCACACAACTGAGGGTTGAGGGTCGGGTCCGGCCGGCTATCTTGCTGCTCCAGCTCCCGTGGATATATGTGAACTCCGGGACCTCTCTCTGCTGTCACTGCACGGCCCAGGAGAGGGTGTGGGCGCCAGGGAAGTAACCAATCCAGACAGCCAGGGGCTCTGAGGAGGTGGCTGGCGTCCTGCCTTCACTGTTCCTTTCTTTCCCGCTGGGCCCTTCTCTAGGTCCAGGACACACAAATTGGGTGGATGGACCGGGAGGCGGGAGGGGCCTGGGCCAGGAGAAAAGGGAAAGAGGCAGGCATAACGGGTGGGCAACCTCACATTAGTTGGGGTTGCTGCATAGCTTCTTGGTGCGCTGATGGGTACCACGACGTGTAGCTGGGGATGTAGGAGCCTGCGCTGCCACCGGAGCCCTTTCCGGATGATGAGTTGGGGTTCCAGCCAGGCGGCACCGGTGGGGAGCCGGCAGACAGCGCCCGGCCATTGGCCAGCGCACTACCCTCCAGAGCTGCCCCGCCCTGCTTCATCAGCTTCTTGAACTTGGAGCGCTTGTTCTGGAACCAGATCTTGACCTGCAAGAGCGGACAGCAACGTGACTTGGGCTAAGTTCATTGTGAGGTTGTGGGGAAATAAGGGGGCAGTGGGACAGCAAGACACGATCGATGCTCCTTAGTACTGGGCGCAAAGGCAACTCCCAACTGGGGGAACAGATCACCACCACCACTACTAAGAACTGGCCGGCAAGGGCAGCTCTCCGAGAGCCAGGGGGCGTGGTGTGAGGGGTGAGCGGGAATTTAGGCCTTCTCCTGCCAGAGACTCGGCCCAACCCTGGCTAGCAGTCGTCTGGGAAAGATGCAGCACCTGCACATCATACAGCCTTCGATTCCAATATGGGCATCAATAAAGGAATCCAGTGGAAGAAAGGAGTGGAGGAAATTTATTTGCAATGCGACCCGCCTTCTCTTTGTCATCCTTTCTGCCCTTGAATGAGTTGGGGGCTGACCAAGGAAGCCACAAGGTTTTGTTAAACTTTTCATTTGGACCTAAGTCAACCTTTCCTTAGCGGCTATTTGTCTACCCAGTTCTGCTCCAAATCCCGGCCCCAACGTTGGAAACCCGCGCCATTCTTCGTCAAAACACCTATAGGCTCCCCGGAATCTTAGAGAAATCAGGGAAGGAAGGTCCTCTTCTCCTCCACGGCCTGGGACTTGGGAGGTGTGAGAGTGCAGAGGAAAGGACCTCCCCTCCCCCTGCCCAGGGAGAAAGAGGAGGAGGAGGGAGACAGAGCCTCGGGCCTAGGCCCTGAGTGATTAGCCACACACTTTAAAGGCAAGGAAGGGATTAAGCCCTGAGTCTATTGTTCCAGTTGTTCGGGCACGTGTGACTTCAGAATCCCCAAACAAAACGTCTGGGGAAATCCTCCCTGCGCCCTAATCAGATTGTCGTCCAGGGTTGGTGGGCCGCGCGGCAGGCAGCGCGGAATACAGAGTGCCGGGAGAGCAAGGGCAGAGAGAAAGAGGGAGGAAGGAGAGGCATCGGGAGAGCTAGGGGTGGTGGACTCTCTCCTTCTCTCTCCCTCTCGCTCTTCGTCCTCCCCGACCCTGAGGGCCAGAGAGCAACAACAACAAAAAATGTGTAGCTCGGGGCGCAGGCGGGCCGCGGGAAGCCTGCGTGACGGTGGGGCAGCAGCGAGGTACCTGCGTCTGCGTGAGTCCCAAGGAGGCCGCGAGCTCCGCCCTCTCGGGCAGAGCTAGGTACTGAGTTTGCTGGAACCTCCGGTTCAAAGCCTGCAACTGCAAACTGGAGTAAATCGTCCTGGGTTTGCGGATCTTTTTCCCCTTGCCATTGAAGCGCACTTCCCCGCCTTCCACCACCGTGCTCTTCTCGGAGTCAGCCCCTGGAGGAACAGCAGAAGCAGGGGCCTTGGTTAATGCAAAGGACAGCCTTTAGTGTGGGGAGCCCAGAGCGAGTGGCTACCGAGTGGGGTAGCCAAGGCAGGACCAAGAGAGAGAACGCTCGAGAAACTCGAAAAATCAGGGAAGGGTCCCGCAAAATCCAAGGGTCGGCCCCGGGCCGCTGCAAGCGGACTGGGGCAGTTGCCAGGCACGCAGCTCCTGCCTTTGCAGGGAAAGTTTGCTGTTTTTGCAGGCGGTAGTTGAGGTTTAATTACCCTTAATTGCATACATTGTTTATAGCGCTACGCAATAAATAATTACCGAGACTAATACGTGCACATGTGGGTTTCTGTTTTCCAGAGGGGCATTGTGTGCTCAGCGCACGGAGCCACCCAGAGGCCCAGCTAGTGCCAGGGGACGCTCTCGGATTTGTTTATCCTTTGCTGGATAGTCCTTAGTTGGGTGGATTTTTAAAATTTTTTCTTTGCTATGACAAGGATCCATAGATTGATATCCGAAACCTCCACTGCTCCGGCGCCCTCCCCACCACCCCCACCCCACCTCTCTCTCACCCTCTCCCTCCTTTCTCTCTCTCTCTCTCCCTCCCCTTCCTTCTCCCCTCCCTCTCTCCCTTCGTACCTCTTCGTCTCCCTCTCCCGGGCAGGCGCACGTACCTGGATCCTCCAGGCGGCTCTGGGCGAGGCTGGCGCTGCCTGGGTAGGACTGCACGGAACTGATGTAGGGGCTGGATGCGTGGCTGCTGACCGAGTTGACGTATGGGTAGCCCAGTGGTCGGGAGAAAGACGAGGCCGAGCTGTAGGCGCCGTCGGGCTGCGAATGGCCCGCCGAGTGTAAACAGTGCATGGAGTAGTGCCCGTGGGACATGGGAGAAGGAGACATTTGCTGGTTGGGCGGCCCAAACTCCATAAATACCGCCTTGCCCGACACGGGGCTGTTGAGACTTTCTGGCATGGTGGTCATGGTCATCTCTTCTCGCGGGGTCTGGGTGTGGGTCTCTCTCTCTCCTCTGCTTTCCTTTTGGGGGTCTCTGTGTTTCTCAGGACAGGAAGGGACCCAATTTAAGCGGAACAGGGTTTTTCACTTTCCATTCATAAGAAAATGGAGTTTGTCTCTTTGAAAAGTCTAAGCATGATGCTGCTGAGCTCCCCAAACTCGCTTCAAAGCTTTGACTCAGCCAAGGTCATAAATATTCATGAGTTGACGGAGCTGATTGGTCCGCTGCCTTGCATAATCACCGGGGATTGGTCCGAGGCGCTTCGGCTCCTCTGGACTAGAGCGGGCGAGGCGGCCGGGCCTCGGGAGAGACGAGTTCACACTTCCCGGCCGGGGCTCGCTCCTCTGCAACAGAACACGCCGTGTGGGGCGCACAATGGGCTGCGGAGCCCAAGCCAGGACTACCGCGGCCGGCGGCACTTCGGCCTCCCGCCTCCCGGTGCGCCTTACTTCCCAGAAAATAACCTGCGACTCGGCGGCCGCCCTCCCCTCCCCTTACCATCCCCATCTTCCTCCCACCTCCAACACCGGGGACCTGGGTACTGCTTCTACTAGCTGCCGCCACCTGGTCTGGCGCTGAGCTAGGGCAGCTTTGGAGCCTGGCCGCGGCCTCCGGAGCGCGAAGTCGCGCACTGGGGGGCGCTGGAGGCAGGCAACAGAGCGCCGTTCTTCCCAGCTTCTTGTGCCTAGAGCAGCGCTCTCTCGGAGGCCCCTTCGCTCTGCCACATCCCTGGGGTGAGATCTGGGGCCCTCCGGGCGAACTCACTCACTCGGCCGCCGCGCCGCCACCGCCGCTCCCTGGGGCGGGCTCGCATTGCTCCAGGCCCAGCTGGCCACTCCAGCTCGAGGCTGCACCGGTCTGATTAAAGCAGTGCGCGCGAAGAACCAGGAACCCGCGCTTCTCCTCCCAGGAAAGGCGACCGCACCGCCCTCCACCCTCAACACCCCCCTTCCCCTCCCAACCTTCCTCCACCACCCCCTCCCCTCTCCACTCCCTCTGTGCGGAGCGCCCAGGGCTCACTCGCCCCTAGGGCGCCGCTCCGAGTGGAGCTCAGAATCTGGCGGACTCAGTTCTGCTTGAGCCGCGGACGCCAGGTGGTCATTCTCCGGCCACCTGGGGTCTGGCGAGAGCACCAGGGTTTTAGAAGTCCTGGGGGACACCGAAACCCGCGGCAAAACCTGGTCAATAGTAGGCTCACATATCTGTGTGTGGACATGTCTCACATTGTCGCCCAGGATCCTCCTCATCTTCAGTGGTCAAAGCGGGCACCACTGGGCCCGGGGGCAGGGCTGGTGGAGGCAAAAGCTGCCAAGGTACCTTCTGTCTTCTGGGGCGCTAGGTACAGAAAAGTGCACAAAAGCCCCCCCACCCCCACCCCCTCTGTCACCACCACACAGCCACCCCCTCGAGGCGTGGTTCGAACCACGATGCCTTCGAGGGGCTGTTAGTTCCCATCCCTCCAGCCTCACGGTGAATCCCAAATTACTTTGTTAGGTAATTAGAAAGTGTTGATAATTATTTCTTTCATAATTTAGCGGTGTGGCGGGAACAGGGAAATGATCTTGTGAAAGTTCACACGTGCAGATGTATTAGTTACTGATTCATTTGATTAAATGGTAGTCTCAAGTGCTCAGATCCGCAGCTGAAGGCGCCCCATTAGCATAACACTGATGTTTAATTTTCATACGCATAATTAGCCATATATTTAACACTAATAGCAACATACAGCCTTTCAGCATTAAACAGCTCGAGATTTGATCTGGCCTGAGCTGAACCTTCGCCCATGCACCTTCCCCCGTCTGGAGTGCGCAATGATCACAGGACAAACCTCTGTAATCAAGCACATTTTGGCAGAAGGAACACCAATAAAAATGAACATTCAAAACAAATTACATCGATGCTGTCGTTACAGATATTAGTGGAAGGGGCTTCTCTCTTTCTTAACTTCAGTAGCAGCAGCTGCTGCCCGCGGAATTCCTCTCCTTTGGTTTAAGGACATGATGTTGGGGGTAGAAATATTTCAGGCAGTGTGGTTGGAGCAAAAACAAAAACAAAAACAAAGACAAAACAAAACAAAACCCCACACCGATCCTCCAAACCAATAACGGCTTTGCCAACGTTTAAAAAGACCCCCCCCCCCCTTCTTAATCACCCAACCACACGGCGATACTTTGTAGCACCAACAGCTAAGGACTCTGCTACCAGACAACTCCCGGAGCTGCTGGACTCTTGATTTCCGTGTTGCACTTGTGGTTTTAATTGCTCCTTCCTAGCGCCTGTTTTGGGGTATAGAGCAGGGTGTGGAGCGTGGTGTGGTGCTCCCAGCACAGCAGCACGGATGCCGCCTGGGCCCCTGGTCTGCCGCGCGCCTTACGGGGCCCTGACCACGTAAGTGATCGCCGTGGCTGGCGCGGGGTTGGGCTTGGGACTGAGGGAAGCGGGGTTGGCAGCTCCAAGTGCTCAGGGCAACGCGTGAGGAAACCCGACGGATGGGCCACCCAGGGCCAGTTTATTCCAGATAACTACAGGACGGGGGAAAGGGAGAGAGGCTGCCACAGGTCGCGACGGTCTCCAGGGCTCTCTCTCCGACCACATCTGGAGTGGGAATCCAAGCCATTCTCAGAGCAGTGGACGGGGCTGGCTTCGGGGAACAAAAGACCCGCATGCGCCCCCTCGGGACACGGTTTCAGAGCCTTGCTTATTTTACAAATGAATTATTGTGGACGAGCGAGTGTCTATATTCTGGAATTATTTCTTAGACCCAGAGAAGCAGTTACAGAGGCTGAGCCCGGGGCCCTCGGGCGCGGAGACTCGGGCCTTGGCCAGCTTCTCAACGTTCGATCTTATCTCTGCTCTGTGAACCCTTACACCCCACACCGCTAAGGCGACACCTGTTCTGAAACACCGGTTTGATTAGATATCTGCCTGTCCCAACTCTAAAAAAAATAAAACTCTCTCACTTATCCCGAAAATCCCGGATTGCGAGTACAATCTCTTGGAGACACCACTGCAGGACTGGCGCCTGGTGGTGGTAGCTGTAGCCACGCTGGGCTGGAATCCCGGCCGCGCTGGGTGAGGTTTGGAGCCAATTAAGTTGGCAGGGGTGAGGGGCGGAGAGTGGGCAAGGTATTTTAAAATCTGCTTCCTAACTTCAACTTCAAAGCATGTTAAACGGGAGTTCGTTCTAAATGAAGTTTGTTTCCTATGGAACTGCAGAGTATTGCCTGGTGTTGGTATACACACGCACACACATAAATGTACAATGTTTAAACTTTAATAAATGAGGTTATAAACCTGTCCCATAAATACCTCCACCTTGGAATAATTGCTGCACAAGCAGCGTGTTATCCCAGTGGTTGGTAAAATCCTGTGGTCCTAATAAAATTATTCTTGGGAAACCTGATCTGTAGACAAGATACAGGTAATTGTTACAATCCTACTGCTTTAGGAGAGAAGTGAAGTCATTCTCAGGCTAACTTCTCCCAAGGATATCTGGGCCTTCCTCCTCTCTAGAGACTCTGAATTTTTCAGGTGCAGCAGCCTCGGTCTCTAGGCCTTTGCTTTGCTAACTCTAAGGTCCCAAATGTTTTTCTATGAACCTTGTAAATCTTCAACACCTTCCTTGTCTTTTCCAGCTCTGAGATCCACTAGAATTAGAATAATCCCCCCCCCCCCCCAAATCCCCCATCACTGGACAAAAAGAAAGAGAGCCAGAGGGGTTGGATGATGCCCAGGAGAATCCCAATTGCAGGGAAAAGATTGAACTGAACACTTCCCACCATGCTCATTGGTCTCAGTTTCCTATCTCTTTCCCCACCACCATGTCACAGAGAGGAGTTAACTCTTGGGACTCAGTCACAGAGGACATTTATCATGGCAACTACAGGTGCCCTACATTTGCTTGGTACTCTCCAGCCAAGCTATATTTAGTGGATAGCAACTTTGTAAAACCTGCTTCAGTAGAAACAAGAGTTAGCACAACCACTGACTTAAAGGACACCCTAACCGGACTTCTCTCTAAAACCATGACCAGAGGGCAGATACTTTCTACATGGCCTGCTAGAGGCCCAACGTCTCTCCACGCCTGATCCCAGGTGTGAACAGGTCCTGGGGAGCTAACGCAAGGAAAGGGAAGGTACTCTAGGCAGGAATGGGTCTCGGGACAGGAATGTGGATCCTTGAATTTTCTGCTCCTGAAGCAGGTGGAGCTTTGGGCAGGCTGAACTGGAGTGCAACTCACCACTCCATTCCACCAACTAGGCCCTTGCCCTAAAAAGTTCCCCGATTTCTTCTTGCTGGGACTCTCTGGGTCTCCAGCGCTAGAGCGCGGTCTGAAGGCGGCCAGTATGGGGGAAGGTCAGTTTAGGGGCTACACTAGCCTGGGGCTCATGCTTCAATACCTAGTGCAACAAACGGTTTAGTGCGCGCGCGCGTAGGGTCTTGCAAAAGTAACATCTGGGATGGCACCACAGGGCAGGATGAGTGCTGGGGACCAGAAAGTCGTGTTTTCAGATTGGTAGAGCCCTGCAGAAGGTCCAGGCCCGTGGGTCCTCAGGCAAAGAACTGTTTGTAATCAACCACTCCATTCGGGATGATCTTTTTAGCGCAAAGCCGCTAGAAAGGGGAAAGAACCGGAAGGGCTGGGGAGCAGCTGGCCTCTTCCAGCGCCCAAGCGCCAGCCAGTGTAGGATTCACAACGGGAAAATAATGACTTAAAAAATAATTCAGCTAACAGCTGGGCTCGGGTTTTTCTTTAGGCACGGGCATGTGAAAAGTTCAGAAACTCAAAAATTAACCAACTCCCGCTAGTAATTGTCAGAGACAAGGAGCTCAGACACAATGGGTTTGAGAGGTGAAAGGTTTTTACTTGGGCAGAGTCAAGACAAGGGAAAGAGAAAACCATGCACCTCTAGGAATCCCTGGTCTTCCAAACGAGGGAGTCCCATTTCCCCTCCAGAAATGTTTCCCGAGTTAGGATGCTGAGCCCCGCGCCACGACCAGTCTCTCCGTAGCCGCGTCGACACGCAGGACTTCAGATCTGCGTTCCCAACTGCTCCTAATCCCCACCGGGTTTTCCATGACGCTTCTAGGTACTAGGTAAGCTACTGCGCGACTAGCCGTCAGCCCGTTTCTTCTAAAAGTTATCCAACTTATATCAGTAATTTAGGAGAAAAGGCTCCCAGCCTCTGCGACCTTGGGGCCGCTCCTCAGGCCTCGTGGGGCAATTTGGTCAGGATCTGCGCGCCCCTCGACGTGATGACAACTGTGTGCTCGAACTGGGCGGACCTGAAACACAAGGCACTGGTCAGGGCTGGCGCTAGTGCCGGCGGAGCCGGGAGCGCAGCTCTCTAGCGCGCCGTCGGAGAAACCTTCCCTTCTCAAAAAGTTGAAAAGCAACGAGGCAAAAAGCAAACACCTTTGATTGTCCAGGGAGACCACAGTCCACGCATCCTCCAGGACTTTAAATTCAGGGGATCCCTCGGTTATGATTGGCTCTGTAAGAGGGAAGATATTTACTGCAGTGATCTAATCAAATTTTTGTCAAACATTGTTTCCACTGATTATCAAAAAAGAGAATATGAAGGTTCTCTCCCCTCCTCTCAAGTACTCCCCCCCATGGGTTCATGTTGTCACATTGCAAGGGTTGATAATTGATGTTGCTTATATAGTATACTACAAACTAAACAGTAGGGAGAGGAAACGTTACTGCATTCAAAATGTATGAAGTTGCCTAGTTTGTAATTTTTTAGAGGAAAAAGGGCATTTTAATCAAGCCTTAATTAGGACCCTGTGGTTAATAACCATCCAAACACCAGTCCCTCTTATAAATACCAGTGAGTTTTTAAAAATATTTGAATTTTTAAAACATGCTCAAAATGTTCATTAATCAGCAAATAACAATTTTCTTATTTCACTCTAATTGCTTCTCCATTAAGTCCCACAGTAAGAAACGTGATGCCTTCAGGGTCTTAGGTGATTGAAATTTGGTGGTGACACCAATCACATGATCAGCCAGGAATGGGTGGCCAGAGAGTATAATATGCCACATGCTGATAGGGAGCAAGGGACATAATCGCCTCTTGTTACTGGGTGTTAAGGAAAGCACACACACCCATACACACACACACCCCCAAAATCCAAACATCACATTATGTTGGTAACAGAATTAGAGGTTGGAGGGCTGCCTTTCCTAAATGTGTTGGTAAGTATCTGATTTAGGAAGATGGGCTCGAGGATATTATTTAATCAGATTTACTATGCATCTGAATTATTTCATTATGCTGATTGGCTGTATCAGTCCTTCACGGGACTGCCTGGCCTAGGCCAGTGCTGCTGCTTCTGCTGGGAAAGCCATGGCTCTCTACAGAGGAGTTCCCGCACTGACCTACGGTGAAGGCCATTCCCTCTTCCATGAGTAGATCGCTGTCATTTGCTGGAAAAAAGGGGGGGGGGAGGGTAGAAGGAGTGGGAATGGGAAACGGAGAGAAGGAGAAACAGAATTAGAGGGGTTCAGCTGCTCAAAAAAACTTGGTACTTTAAATTGTTTTCTTTTGAGATAGAGGGAGCGTAGAGGTTTCTAGAATCCTGGGTGCTGGCTAACAACCAGGGGTTAAATACAGGGCTCCTGGGTCTCAGCCTTTGCACTTTCTGCACTTGGAGTCAAGGTCTAGCAGGGGCAGCTGAGTATTTTAGACACTTGACAGGATCCCCCTGCTGCTCTGGCCATTTGCTATGTGGTCTCCTGGATTTGCTGGGACCTGGGCCTTGTGATCCACCCCACCCCAAAGAGAAAGACATCTTGGGGAACAGATGCAGAGGGAAGACAGACACCTGGGGTGCAGGTTGCAGTAGCAGGCAAGGTCAGGGGTGACCTCAAATAATTCCAAGTATTGGTTCTGGATGGGTGCATGTCTAAGAGGCCCTTTCTGTGCTCCCTTTGGACCTCAGGTGAGGCTCTTTGGTCAAAATGAGGAGTTCTGACCTGCCCTGGCCAGTTTGGCTCAGCGGTTAGAGCATAGGACTATGGACCAGAGAGTCCCAGGTTCAGTTCTGCCAAGGGCATGTATCTTGGTTGCAGTTTGTTCCTGGCCTGGTTGCAGCCCTGTGGGTGGCAACCAGTCGATGTATCTTCACATCAATGCCCCCCCCCCCCCAACTCAGTCTGAAGATAAATGCAAAAATGCCCTTGGGTGAGGATAAAAAAAAAAAAGAGTTCTGACCTGTTGCTTCTCTAGGGATCTCCCAGGAGATGGGTTCTAGGCAGTAGTTTCTCCAGGGAATGCTCCCACCCGAAGCCCCCAAGGGGGGTGCACACCTGCACAGGGTCCTTTAGTCTCCAGGGCACTTCAAAGAACTGCCTCCTACCCCCCCCCCCCGCCCCACTGCCTTGTGGCCCACCCCTGCCTTCCCACTCTAGGGTACATACCCAGGCAGTAAAAAACAGGAGATTCTGGGGAAGGAACACAGGGTGAGTATAATCTAGAAATCACTAAAGAGTACATGCTGCTAAATACATCAGCTGTCATCGCTGTGTAGGATGTATTGAAGTTTAACCACAACAGTCAGCAGTTAGAGAAGGGGGTAGAAAAGAGGAAAACAGAAAACAGTCATATGTGCACACTGCTGGGACACTGATGCAGTAGCATTTTGTTTTCAGTAACTTTTCCTAGACAAAATGCTCCTTCTGCCTTCCAGCCATCACTCCTCAAGAGAAGACAAAAAGCAAAATAAATCTGATTTTGGGATAGAAACTACTGGGTTCTAATCCAGTAACATAGTGATATGCTGGTTATGATTAAGTACCCTTTGCATTCTAATTTTGAATCCACACACACAGAATGATGATAAAATGTGGATTCAAAGTTAGAGCTTCAGGAGCAAAACTGCCTTATACTGATTCCATTCAACAAACAGTTCCCAAATTAACTTTCTTACCATGGTGCCAAATTTCTGGATGTCCATGAAAGTAAGATCCTATCCCATGTCCCACAAAATGTGGACAGACTTGCAAACCATTCTGATGAGTTATGTGGCTTTAAAAGTAACCAAATAAAATATTTAATTAAATTAGATACATTCTTAATGCATACACAAATAAAACAAAGTCATTTAAAAATATTCTATGAAAAAGAAAAAATTACTTATATTTAGAATCAGATAGTAACAATATGTTCTTATTATTCTGGAATAAACTAAGGGGTTTTTTTTGCCATTGCTTATAAAACTCCCTTTGGATAAATGAAGAAAAAAGGTATGTATCTAACACAGTAGTTTGCTTCATTGACCTTAGTATAGCATTCAAACAAGACCACTTTTAGACACCAAGTGAGTGTGTATGCACACACATGTAGATCAATATAACAAAGACACATGTGTATATATATAATGCAGGTTATAAAAACCTGTCTGGTATGTATACGGTTTCACAAAAAGACTGTGCAAATTACTACTGATTTGGGAACCAAACAGAGGAAAAAAATTATAGCCTAGAAATGTGACTTTCTATTTCTTACTTCTATAGTTCCATTATTCTGGTCTATTTCAAAACATGATACATTTTGCAAAAAGACACTCACACAAAGGTCAAATCTGCTTTGTCCATATTCTTGAAACACTCCAAAACTTTGTGTCATTAAAAATTTCCCCTCAAGACCTACACCATTATCAGGAATAATAAAGAATGCTTTTTAATCACTGTGATGCTTAAGAAAAACTAGTATTATGATTCCTAATTCTTAATGTGTCATTAGTTGTTTCCACATCCAAATCATTTTGGTTCCATCATATTCCATGTACCCCAACCCTAAAATCTTCACCTACATGGTTAAGAAATTGTTGTACATGCAAGAAATTAGGTGTGCATGTTTTATTTCTGGGAGTGACATAAGATAAGAACATATATATCATTAACAATGTATATTTTCATGTGGATGAAAGGCATAGTGCCTGAACTCTAACCATAACAATGGATTGGGATTTACAATTTTGTTAAATTATTAACAAAACCAAAGCTCTGAGACCTCAAACTGGAGTTTCCAAAAGACCCTTCATTTAGTTTAATATGAACTCAAAGGCATTTAGCCAGAAACTTTATGAGCATGAGCATGCATGTTGATATACTTTTCTCTCAATATTTTTAACCTTCATCTCCAGACCTGTAAAATATCGAATGTCACTATACATAGCAGATGGGCAGACTCTCATTCAGGTTTAATTTCCTGGTAGCTGATAACACAGAAATAAGTAAGCTAAGAATGTGCTGAGGACAGAAATGATAAGTCAAGGTTGTTACCTAAGTTGTACTTTACGGTTATTTCTGTGTGTCTTTGCACTTTGGGCAATAAGTTAAACACGTTTCCCAAGGCTTTTCTATTCGTTCCACACAATTTTTGAATAGAAACTGAGGATGGAGAGTGAATAGTGGGTGGAAGAGATGTTATTAAACAAGAATCAATGATCTAGATTTTTTTTTTACAAAAATGGGCTCTACCTAAACCTGTAAATTTTGTTACCTCAGTTTCAAAAAATAATGATTCTAAGAGCAGTCAATATAAACTGTTCTCCTATTTTCTTTTCTTTAAAAAAAAAAAAGAGATCTTTTTAAAAGGCTCTAACTGATTGGCAGGCATCACAGCTACATCTTAAATGTGTGTTACAATGGCAATCTTCATTTTAATTTCCGATGAGAGGAGAGGAAGAAAGACCACTCTGAAAAAATACTTTGGGTCCCTTCCCCATCACACCTCTCTTTCCTCTTCATAAAAGAAGCTGTGCAATTACTAGGTGGCTAAAGATATCTGAGTGCATTCTCCTATAACCATTTACTGCCTGGATCCTGCTGGAGCTTCTGGTCATAGGCATATCATAGAATGGATATGTCACGGATGCAAAGATCAGAGGATTTCACAGCCACGTGAAAAGAACAGGACACATTTCCTTCAGTTCCTTGGTTGAGCACTCATCTCAATGCTTGATTCCCAGGAGCTAGGTATACCCTTCCATCTGCTTTTCAGAGTATTTTCCTTTTGGATCGGTAGTTAGCTCTTTAAAACATATCTACAGGGTCTAAATAGGATAAAAATCTCACCAATGTTCCAAATGCTATGTAAAAGCTCACCCCTTCTATTATTTTGGAATACATGGGAAGCAAAAGAGTATTTACCTAATTCTAGGGTTTAAATCTAACTTCACAGAGACAAGCCAAGTGACTTGTAGTAGCAAATTCCACTCTAACATGAAAGTAAGAACTGGTAATGCTAATCGTGGCATGGGAAGGTGGAGCATGTGTGCTTCTCTTGACTGGTGTGTTAGGGAACATGGGCACAGCTGGGTACACAGGGGTGCCAAACACCAGCTATCATATGGCATGACCCATTTCTGAGCACAAGGGTCTTCTTGCCCTGGACATTTCATCTTCTTTTTGCTGAATTCTACTACAAAGAACTGTCCTGGTATTAGCTCTTCTGATTATTTTTCTAACTAAAACTCTTCTCAGACATCAGGGTGCATCTACATGAGCCTGAGTACATTTATGATTTTAAGCCCTGTGCATGGAATATTTAGGGAGAGGGAGGAGGGGAGAGAAGAAGACGTATCAAAGTAGTTTATGGCCCTGTCCAGTTTTGCTCAATGGTTGAACATCGGCCTGCGGATCAGAGAGTCCTGGGTTCGGTTCCTGCTAGGGGCACGTACCACAAAAAAAACCCAAAAAACAAAGTAGTTTATGAACTCACTTTTAAATTATACTGTATTATTATAGTTCACGTTTCAGTTATAGTTTATAGCTGAAAGAAAAATCTCTCTTAAGGAATTTTATCTTGTGACCATTTTCTTTAGTTTAATTCCTTTTCATGAGGCAGTTTTCCTCAATTGAAGTATTGTCTGGATAAATTAAAATTCTTAATATATTTTAACTACATTTTTTTATGACTAAGAATATATTCCCCAAGAAGGCAGAGGAGTACTATATTTAAGTACATACTCTTCTCACAAAATAAAAATGCACATGGAAATAGTTTTATTACCATTTTTATATGAATCCTATAAACAGTACTTTTCTCTAAATGCTAGCATCTCTAATTAACAGATTTTGAATGGCACCTGATTTTCTAAGTTATAAAATTTTAGCTTAATGTTTCCGGATTTTAATTTTAAGCAGTAGTCTTTTAATGAAGGAATGCGCACGTCCAAGGATCCCCTCTAATGACAAGGAATGCTTAAGGATAATCAGTAATATTTTTGAAAGCCAGTAACTGCTTTCCAAAAGAGTAGTACATATTTTTTGTTTCAAACTGGATCACAAATTACTGTATTTTTCTTACAATAGTCCTGAACTTTTATTTGAGGTTTTCTGTTTCTGAAAAGCAGACATGATGGATTAAAATAAAAGATAATTTATTGCAATGCTTACTTTCATGTGCAAAGAGAAGCAGTATAATTGTAATTTACAGTAGCTGTCAAGAAAAATCCATCACAGATGACATTAAAATGACTTATTTTGCCTGAGCCACTTATTGTTTAAATGTGCATAATCTAATAGAAAGAGATTATTTTTCAAAATCTGCTTTATATTCTTCTAAATTAATATCAAAACATATACTTATGAATTAAACATTAAAAACCATTTATTGATACTTTCATCATGACATTTACAAGTATAAGTTTAAATTATTTTTGATTGAACTGTCACATATTTGTGATGCATGAATTTACACCTTCACAGTGTTCTCAGATGTACACAGTATACCATCCAGAGATAATTATGAAAATACAGATTTAGGAATATTTTGAAGCAAAGGGAGCTACAGTGAGGATAATAACACACTGTAACCTAAAGATCACTAGCCCTCATGAAACAAAAGGACACACAGAGAAGGACTCTTTTCATTAAACTATAGTGGGCAATACTTTTTCAAATATCATCCTATCCTTTAGGTTTTAGAGAATTAAAAAATTTCCTATAAAGATCACTAGGTTTTTGGTAACAGAATACTAATAAAAGATGCTTGAGTGTTCTTTTCATGCTGTATCAGTAGAGGGAGGCTATACAAAACATAATGAATATCTTAAAATAAACTGAAGATGTTTGTAAACCTTAGGTCTGTAATGGTTCCAAGTACTTTTGGCATAAAGGTGGAGATTGCTTGTTTATTTACTCCCGTGAGAGTTTGCCTGAATAAGAAAAGGTGAAATAATAGATGTCCAGAAACAGTGCCTTAACCCATTAGAGCAAATATTTGTTAGAATCTGGGCCAGTTTCCTGTCTGGTGACAGACATAAACCTTCTAAACAATGAAATGTATTAGGGTAAAAGTAAAATGTTCATTGTCTTTTTTACATAGTTTTGTAAGTGCTGTTGTTGGGACTGATCTGGTTTTCAAAGAAGCTGGTACATGCAAATTCATACTCTGTGAAAACTGACCTTTGCATCTAAATAGCTAAAATCCAATGTCACTTTCAATTCTACCTTTTTTTTTTTAATGTATCCAGAATTAATGTAGTGAATATGTAATGAAATGCATTATCCTACATGGAGATTTATCAGATTTTCCGACTGAATGCTAGGCTTTGCTAGTACTAGCTGGAATTCACCTGCATGTTGGTGTGGCGTGTGGCTCCTTTTTGTAAACAGTTAAGTCGTACACAAAAAAAGGGAACAAAGGTCAGCACCCAGCCGCCACTTGAATGTGAGATTTTTCTTTTTATTCCCCTTGATGTATACTAGGCTCTGTGTTATTAGTCTTAATGATGGAAAATTGTAGTGTTGATACAAATCTTTTTTTCAAAGTAGTAGGCGGGAGCTCCATTTGTTAGTAAGTTTTTTTGTGACTAAAAGCCACGGACAGTACATTTATGTAGCAGTAAAAGGCCTAGATGCTCTTTCCATAGCAGAGCTAATTATTCCTACTGTGACCTTACTGATCCAGCCTGTTCCTAGTACATCTCATCTGCACGCCTGTTCCTCTGTGTAGATGGTGTCAGAGAATATGAAAAACCCTATAATGAAACCATTTTCATGATGGAGAAAGGCTACTGGAGTTGCACTTGCTACAAAGAGGCTCAATTATATGAGTAATTGTGATAATTTTCTACATTCATAGCCTTCAATGGGGAAAAAAGAATGAGAGCCACAAAGGAAAATTACTTTAACAAGAAAGTACAGAGAGTAAAAATGGAAGAAGAGACAAAAAGGGGAAAAAATAACCAGAAAAAAAGTTTAAAAAATAGATCTGGAGGGAGGAATAGCGAGACAGGGAGAACAACAGAAATGCTCAAAAGCCCATGTGCAGCTGTGTTGCACAATTAAATTGAATTTTTTTTTCTGCAGTTGATGAATGTGACTACTGCAAATGTGCCTCTGTAGTTAGCTATCATTTGTTGTTCCGTGACAGGAAAAGGATAATTACCTCTCAGAGAGAATCAAAGGCTGACATGCCCTTTAGACACAGCCATGAATGCAGAGCTCCGTAGAATGCTTGAATAAGAATCTAGTGTTCTCTGCCCCTTCCACTGAAGAATAAATTTTGTTAAAATGCAAGAGCACCACCAGTAAATTTGTTGAACCCTAGGTGTTCAAAAATATGAGGTACATCTATCGACTCATCCCATTTGCAAAAATAAAGCTGCATTTTGAATTCATTTCTATTATATTCATGGACAGTAAGATAGTGAGATATGCATTAAATTTCTTTTCCCAGTAGGGGTCTGATTCAACATTTCCTATGAAAGAACAGAGAGACACTATCCCTTTTTCCCAGGCTAGTTAGCCTATAATTTAAAACTGTCAAAAACACAATTTTGTTCAAAGTCTTCAATAAAAGCTTCTCAGATATAACACAAAGAGATTTTACTAAAGTTTGATTCAGACACTGTTACAATATTTTTAAAGCCATAAATACATTTAACTGATATTTTACTGCCATTTTTCTTAAAGCTTTTGAAAGCTTATGAAGAAAAAAGGCACCGTCTTTTCAAGGTGACTAAGTTGTCCATCATTCAAACAGGAAGTATTCGATGGTTCATATTAATGAGAATAGTACTTTAAAAGATACTGATGTGATCATCTTCCGCAAAATGCATTACTTTTAAGTAAAAAAAAATGATCTGCATGTCTACTTCAAAACAGTTGATCTTCAAGAAAAGTCTTGAATTCAGCAAATGCACATACACTCAAAAGGCAAGCAGAGAATGCTGTGTGGAAAATAAACAACGGTTTATAGGAAAAAGGAACCAGACCAAAAAGGACAGAAGATCACCCTTTCAGGCTGTTTGCTAATCCACTAATTTGAATGGCAAAGCTTGCCCGAGCTGACGCTTTTTACCTCTGTATCACAGGAATACGTTCAGTTCATTTCTTTATAAAATGTAGCTTTTCTCCTGTCTCATTATCCAAGTGATGCTTAGCCCCCTTTCAGGTACTTTCTTCCCTGTTTGGTGTGATTTTGAGTAAGGGAACACTACAGACCAACATATCAAACTAAAACAAAAGGAGCACTCTTATAAATATTCCTTGCTGCTTCTATAAATTTCTTTGCTGACCCTGATATAATTCACTTTTTTTTTTTAAGATTTTTCTTTTTTTTAAAATTTATCCAGAGAACAACATTTCAGCCTGGCAGTTCACATACTGATATCAGGCTGAAATGATGGTTCTGAATCATAAAACATGTCATCAACTTTATACCAAGCCACCAATAACCTTTGTACCATTTGCCAGCCCTCCCTTTACTTGTCAGTGTCAGGCTTACCTGATTGTGTTTCCAATTACTGAGAAGGGAGCCCCTGCTCTGCAAGCTGCAATTGCTTCATCTCTACACCTCCTGGCAACCGCCACTAACTTTTTACCACATTCATCCACATTGCCCACCAAAAATGTTTCAGAGGTATCTCCATGGTAGCCATTGTAATAGACCTAGACACAGGCAGAAATTTAAAAATATGACCTTGTTTAAAAATCTTCTCTTCTGAAGTATACACTGGATTCATTTATGTATTTAGTACATTCATATGTTTCACCCTTTCAGAATCACCCTCAAGTTTACCAACAAAAAAACCCCCAAAAAACAGATATGTTGAAACGTTACAGAAATTTAAAAGATGAAGCCATGCAATAATACCACACAATTTAAAAATAAATGACTAGTATGGCTATTTCAGTATTATGATTAGCAATGCTATAGTAACATTTTGATTCCTCACTTTATTTTTGAGAAGACAAAACTATATATGCAAAATTTAGTGACCAAAGACATTGACCCACAATTAGTACAATAGGTTTAGAGAACCTAGAAATATTTAACATAGTGAAAAGTTTCTCCAATGTCACAAAGATACTCACTCTTTTATTTACCAGTTCTATAGTTGGAAGTCATAAATAATGACAAGAAATAAGATAGACATGTCAATATTATAACAGACAGAGAATTTAGCTTGAATTGTAGTGGTTCAATATAGGAATGAAAAATCTTGCCTGGAAGTGAAATCTTAATTCAGTGTTCCAGATAGCAGAATGTTAACAGAAAACACTACACATCAATGTTTAAAGGCTTAGAATATAAGAAAACAGTGTTAAGAATAAAATTTTAAAAATATAATCTTATCAGTCTTCAATCATTCAGCAGTCCCTGTAAGATCTTGAAAGATACCAGATTCATTATAAAAATCATTAATTACCAAACACTACAATAAATATAAAAGGCTGAGAAAACTAGTTGAATATCGATCCATTGATGTAGCATGAAATTTGCTATTTTGCATACAGTTGCTATGTAATTATTTTTCACATTTCTTTCTCATGAAATAGAATGCAGGAGCTGTTATAAAAATATTTATCTGAGCTCTCTGTTTTAATGCTGAATTAATGTCTTAAATCTGTACAGAATTCTGCATTAAAAAAATACTCTCCCACACACTGGGGGAAGCAGGAAAAGTCTTTAGTTTGTCTTCATTTTAAGTCAGGGAACCTGAGGTAGACAAGTGACTTGTCTAAGGTTGGTGGCAGAATATAGAGGTGGATCCAGATTAATATGATGGATTATTAGCTTCTAATCCAGTGTATCAAAGTACTTTAATTACCTTGCAATAGAACAGTGTTTTATACATTTATTCCCATTTACAATCCAATAAAGTAAAAGTTTTCATTTTATATACAAGTATATAACATTTACTAATTTAAGAGTAATTATTGAAAAATTTCATAACTTTAGCCCAGCTGGTGTGGTTCAGTGGATTGAATGTCATCCCATGGACTGAGAGATCTCGGTTGGATTCCAGGTCAGGGCACATGCCCAGGTTGCCTGCTCAATTCCCAGTAGGGGGCGTGCAGGAGGCAACCAGTGGATGGTTCTCACTCACACAGATGTTTCTATCTCTCTCTCCCTTCCCCTCTAAAAAAAAATCAATAAAAAGAACATACAAAATTAAAAATTTCATAATTCTGAATGTTTGCTATTTAAGTAAAAATGTATTTTAAAAAACCTTTGCCTTTTCATATTACTTTTGCTAGATTTCAAAAAGACTACTTGAAAGAGTCAATATGCATGGCAATAACAATACTTTCAAAAGTCTGTGACAGTTATCTATAGTTACTGTTTGTATCCACAAACTATTCTTGTTTTGTCCTTGGTTTATTTAACAAATATTTACTGAGCAACTACTTATGAGTATTGCATAGTTTATTTTTTTAATATTCAACTTTCAAGGTAAAAAGAAGTCGATTTTCTTGTGATATATACTAGACATAAACAATTATAACATGCAACGAGTATTTTCTAATAAAATATAGAATCTGCCCAGACGGTGTGGCTCAGTGGTTAAGCATCAACCCTTGCACCAAGAGGTCGCTGGTTTGATTCCCAGTCAGGGCACATGCCCAGGTTGTGGGCCCCACTGGCATGCAGGAGGCGGCCAATCGATGATCTTTCTCATCGATGCTTCTATCTCTCTCTCCCTCTCCCATCCGCTCTCTCTAAAAATCAATAAGAAAAAAATATTTTAAAATATAGAATCTAAAAACAGAGTCTTTCATTTAATAAAATATTTCACAAGAAACATAGTTTGTGAAGATAATAACCTATATGTTTCCTTGACTCCTTCACATTTCTACACACTTAAAAATATTTCACTTTATTTTATGAATTTTGCAATTATAAAATTATTTGAATGTTAAAAATAAAAGTGTATTAAAAATCTTCAGGGAACTTAGAAAAAGCATGGAATATTCTCTTTGAGCACAGTGAAAGCATTAAGGAAGAGTATGCTTGATTTCTTTCAAAGCAGCAATATTTTATTAGGGATGATTAGATGAAATCATAAATGTAAAACCCCCAAATCAGGTAAAATCCAAAAGAAAAATGTATCATAAAAAATACTTTAGTTCAGGTACACTTCATAAAATACCTCCTTCTACATGATTCTGAATTTGGAAGATACCAACAGAATATGTGTAGAGCAAATGTTCAAGTATTCTAAGTAGGACAAATGATATAGAAAAGTATATTAGCAATAAAAAAGTCTTTATGTCTTAACACAAACTGATATGAAGAAAAAAGGTTGAATTAATTTGAACAACTAAAAATCTGACTGAACCCAACTACTGGATGCCAACTTGTACCTCATTCGCACTTCTACTTCGGTTTCATGATTTGGATATAGAATAACTATTATTAAAAATATTCTTCTGGCCCTGGCTGGTTTGGCTCAGCGGTTAGAGCGTCGGCCTGCGGTCCAGAGAGACCTGGGTTCGGTTCCCGCTAAGGGCATGTACCTCGGTTGCAATTTGTCCCCAGCCCTGGTTGGGTCGTGCGGTTGGCAACCACTCGATGTGTCCCTTTCACGTCGATGTTTCTCTCTGTCTCTCTCTCCCTCCCACTCTATCTGAACAAAAAATGTCCTCAGGTGAGGATATTAAAAAATATATATATATTCTTCTGGCCTGGCCAGTGTGGCTCACTGGTTGAGCATGGACCCATGCACCAAGAGGTCGCCAATTCGATTCCTGGTCAGGGCACATAACCAGGTTGTGGGCCTGATCTACAGTGGGGGGCATGCAGAAAACGGCCAATCAATGTCCTCTCTCATTGATGTTTCTCTCTCTCTCCAAAATCAATAAAGAAAAAAATTTTTTTTTTTAATTCTTCTGCCAGGCTGGTGTGGCTCAGTGGATTGAGCATTGTCCCATGGACTGAGAGGTCCTGGTTAGATTCCCGGTCAGGGCACATGCTCAGTTGCAGGCTTGATCCCCAGTAGGGAGCTTGCAGAGGCAGCCGATCAATGTGTCCTCTCACATTGATGTTTCTATCTCTCTCTCCCTTCTTCTGTCTCTAAAAAAAAATCAATAAAAACATATTAAAATTTTTTTCTTCTGCACCCCTATGTTCAATGCATCACTATTTACAATAGCCAAGATTTGGAAGTAGGCCAAGTGCCCATCAGTAGATGACTGGATAAAAAGCTGTAGTACACTTACACAATGGAATACTATGCAGCCGTAAAAAAGAAAATCTTAACTTTTGTGACAGCATGGATAAACCTGGAGAGCATTATGCTAAGTGAAATAAGCCAGTCAGAGAAAGACAAATACCATGTGATCTCAGTTAGTATATGTGGAATCTAATGAACAAAATAAACAAAATAGAAGCAGACTCACAGATACAGAGAACAGACTGACAGCAGTCAGAGGGGAGGGGGTTGGTGGACTGGGTGGAACAGGTGAAGGGATTAACCAAAACAAACAAAACAAAACTCACAGACAAGAGTATGGTGATAACAAGATGGAAAGGGGGTGGGGGTGGGTGGAAGAGGGTAAAGGGATAAATGGTGATGGAAGGACACTTGACTTCGGGTGGTGAACACACAATACAATATACAGATGATGTATTATAAAACTGTACACTTGCAACCTATATAATTTTTTTAACATATATATATATTTTTATCCTCACCCGAGGACATTTTTCCATTTTTTGTTCAGATAGAGTGGGAGGGAGAGAAAGAAAGAGAGAGAGAGCAAGGGAAACATCGACGTGAAAGGAACACATTGAGTGGCTGCCACCCACATAACCCAACCAGGGCCGGGGACAAACTGCAACCAAGCCACATGCCCTTAGCGGGAACCGAACCCGGGTCTCTTTGGAGCTCAGACCAGTGCTCTAACCACTGAGCAAAACCGGCCAGGGCTAATTTTTTAAATTATATATATTTTAGCGCTGGCCGTTTTGGCTCAGCGGTTAGAGCGTTGGCCTGTGGTCCAGAGAGACCCGGGTTCAGTTCCCGCTAAGGGCATGTACTTTGGTTGCAGTTTGTCCCCGGCCCTGATTGGGTCATGCAGGTGGCAGCCACTCAATGTGTACGTTTCACATTGATGTTTCTCTCTCTCTCTCTTCCTCCTACTCTATCTGAACAAAAAATGAAAAAATGTCCTTGGGTGAGGATAAAAAAATTAATTAATTAATTAAAAAAATAAAATGTATATTTTTTATTGATTTCAGAGAGAGGGAGAGAAAGAGAGAAACATCCATGAGAGAGAAACATTAATCGCTGCTTCCTTCATGTCCCCTACTGGATGTGTGCCCTGACTGGGAATGGAACCTTCGACCTCCTGGTGCACGAGATGATGTTCAACAAACTGAGTCATACCAGCCCGGCAGCAACCTATATAATTTTATTAACCAATATCACCCAATAAATTCAATAAAAAATTCAAGCAAAAAAAATATTTCTTCATCAATAGAAACTGTACTCTTTGAATGCTGTCTACCTCAACTAGTTATCAGACGTATAAATTCTATTTATTTAAAATTTATTTATTAATCATCAGATGTATAGAATTTATTTATAATCTACATAATCCAAAGGTATCATTACCAAACTTTTTAGCAAATGAACTGTCAAAACACAAATAAGCCAGGTCTGAGAATAGTCAATGGCTAAGAATATTAGAAAAGGCTTAGAGCTTGTACAATTTGAAGTTCCTGTGTTAAATTATTTTGGGTTGTTATTTAAAAGATAGGCTGTTAACCATTTGGTGAAAACTTAAGTTCAGAGAGAAAACCGCTCTGCTGGTATGCTTTGAGTTCAAGGCTCTCTATACCAGAAATGGAACACAGCACTACCTTCAGGGATTTTAATAAATCTAAGAACACTGCTAGCAAAAGAGTTGCTGTCCAAATAGACTGACACACACAGGCCAACGTAGCCTCTAATGACAGAGTAAGATAATGACAGGCCCCACTCAAAATCAGCAGGAAGAGGAAGATCAATCTTGGCAGAGTGAAGGAAAAATGCTGGCTTTCTTTGCGTTAGCTCATCTCATACATATCCAGCTTCAGCAGCTGCCCAGTGCGGTGGTGCTCTGCGTTAACTACACAGTGGATCAATAACAATTACACCTTCTCAAAAACATGACACATAGCAGGATTGGGTTGACATTTCACTTAGGCCAACATTGATCTCAGTGCATCTGATTCCAGCCCTAAATTCAAGTCAGGCCTGGGTTTACTTGGAATAAACACAGAGTTAAAGACAAAAAAGGAAACCAGCTGCTTGCGTCTGGGTCCAGAAGTAAACAGCACTTCCATCGGTGCAGTTCACGTTTTCAATCCACTCTTCTTCCTGTTGCTACCAGCAATTCTGAAGTTGATCAAAGACTATTTTTTAAATGATTTACTCACTGTGACATCAATGTTGATAATATCTCCATCCTGAAGAGGTCGACTGAAACATAAACAGGAAAAAACAGTGATAGATAGATCTCAATAAAATGAATATAAAAATAAATAACTAATGACTAGTATCACAAACCCAATGAGTTGCAATGATAATTTGGAGTAGAGGAAGAATAAGTGGAATAACTATATCTAATCTTTAACTTAGGTTAGTCACATCAAATTTTGCAAAAAAATATATAGTATGAACATATTGCCATTTATAAGAGTCTACTATTCTTTAAAAAATGTACTTATTAGTTACCTTAATTTTGTAAAGAGCCAAAACAACAGTTGATAACCAATATTTGCCTACATTTGGATTTGTACCACTTAAATGGTAAAATAAATATTTAACACACTACTTTTTTTTGATACATACTGCTTTAACAAACATTAAATGGGGGTATCATGGGAGGCAAAATACTTCAAATTTTTTGTTTTACCATAATCAGCTTCAAAAGTTTGCAGGTGGGTTTCAATTAAACAATAGTGTCTTTCACCATATGTTGCAGATCTTAGTTTCATGTTTTAGTTTCCAAAGGAACAATATGTTATTAAGCAATGAATACCTGTCAGGAATACCATGACATAGCACGTTGTTTACAGAGGTACAAACAGATTTTGGAAACCCTCCATAGCCTAGAGGTGAGGGATAGGCATCATGACTGATGATTTCCTGATGAACAAGAGCATCTATCTCTTCAGTTGTCATGTCAACCTAAAATATTAAATAAAGAAATTGTGCAGTGACAGTTGAAGACATTTCCTGTATCTATTGACTCTGCTTTTAGCTACAGCACTTCCATGTGAGAGTGTGTAAATCTATTGTAATAAACTTCTAGTACAAAATGTTAATTATGACTAACATTAAAATCCTAAACTGTGCCTTTTTGACAATCATTTACGTATATGATGGTGTTTTGGACTATTAGAAAATGGAAAATTTTAATTCTTAATATCCTTCAGATCATTTGTGAGTCATTAAATGACATGACTCCTTTTTAGCCTGAAAATTAAAAAAATAGGTTGTTAGTCAATTCCTTCCTCTTCCTCAATGGTTAGTAACCTGAGCTAACAGAAGCATTTAAAACATACTCTAAAGGCTCATCCGTTTAGATGACAAAGCTTGAAAAGCAGGTCAACTCACACCTTTGTATCTCAGAGGAACATTACATGGGTTTTGCAGCAATGGCATGAATATTATGAATCATCATTTAAAAAACTAAGTCTGATACATTTTTTACATATTTCATTTTCACTGCTCTTGATTTCTTTTATACTTAAAAAGACAGTGTTTTTTAAAAATATTTTTCTCTTACTAGAAGCTATACAATTGCTCCCAAACTAAAAGAAAACTATAATAGAGTTTAGTGAGCACATTTATCTTCATAAATTCATAAATCATGAATAAAATTCTAAGACAATCTTATATTAAAAATTAACTATTTCTTCAATAATTTTCTTTGTGTTATTTTATGTCATGTTGTGTTTAGTTATGTTGCTATAACAAGATTATGACACAGATGAGACCTTCAGTGATTTCACTGTTGAGTCTCACTTTCTAAATCCTGCCCGTCTTTTGGAAACTACAGGCCCATATTTTCTTTTATGATCCTTATATAGCAGAGTGTTTCAGATTATTCCGAAAAGACTAAATCTTGTAGTAAGACAGTTGTACATAATTACACTGCTTTATTACCCAGAGCTTTGTGTATCTGGTCTGATCTTTCTTTGCAGAGCTAATGCAAGAAAATACGAGACAAAGGCTGAGGCAAGCAACTCTTCAGGCACATGGAAATAACAGAAGTGATGTGGGGAATAAAAGCAGAAACTACAGGCAGGAGGAAGGGGGCAAAAGTCAAAGCCGGCTGCCATTGATCAACTTGCATAGGCTGAATGAGCCCAAAACATCTCCAGAATCCTGCTATTTGAAATTGAGTTTGGATTTTAAATGATCTCTTGAATAAACACACAAAATAATACAATCCCTTTCCCCCGTCCCAAGGCTTTACTTAATTACTAACCAATTAGATGCGTACAAAAGAAGAGTTAAAGAGAAAAGGGAAAATAAGAGGGTTTGTTGCCCCTCATGTAAGTTCTTCTGAGGTTTGGTGAGACGTCACCTTTAAACTCTTCCCAGCCAGGAGGAGGACATGACGGGCCAGCTGACAAGCCTGAAGAAGCCCTTGAATCTGATCTTCATTCTTAACTTCTATGCTGTCTCCCCAGTCGGGTACAATGCCTGTCGTCACATAGTCTGGCTTCTTTATGTGCTTGAGGAAAAAGGATTGAAAACGAAGATCAGAACCCAGCGCACGACAATGGGATCATTTTCTCGGACACAGCCTCCTGCTTCATGGAGCTATGCCCTTCCTGTCGGAGCACCGACCTCCGAAGCCAGCACAACAGACCCTCCAGGCTGCCCCCAGTTCCTTCCCCTGCCCTTTTGAACTTAACATTGCCTGTTAGTGCTGTTTCTGGATGGTCTGTTGACCTTACAGTGCTTTGAGTCAAACTGGACTGAAGTAGACTTCTGGTCAAAACAAACAGTAGTTTTCTTTTCTTCCTTCTCCCAACCCTGTTAGAAGCATACTGTCATTGATGAAAAATAGCACCAAGCTTCCAAATTGTCAAGTGGCTAATTAAGAGCACTTTCATCTTCTTAACACAAAGATAAAATTTATGCAAAGGACAGCTCACAACACTCCCTCTGAATGAATATATGTAAAGGCTGACTGTCAAGGCCACTGAAGCCTACTACATATACACTTTTCTTACATTTCACAACTGTACCCAAACTAATAAGGGACTAAACAATTTTCTTTTCTTTCTCTTTCTTTTAAGTACATAAGAATACCTAGAACATTTCTATCATTTGTCAAAAACTAACAAAGTATCCCTCCAAACTCAAAACATTCCACTTTGATTCCCCTTGTAGAACATTCTCCATCACTTACTTAAATCCATGGGCAGTATTCAGGAAATAAACGCTGTCTTACACACAGAGCTTCTCTCAGTCCCAAAGTTTTGCACAGCTCTTTACAAACTTATGGACACTGCTACATAAGCATTGCTGACAGTACCCACTAAGGCTCACAGGAGTTGAGGACAGGAAGCTGAGAGAGATAACCCCATTCAGTTGACATCACAGCAACTCTGGAAGGGCATCATGCAGGATTTAGGGACGTTCACTCATTCTCCTGGTAGAAGGACCTTTCTGACACAGGTAACGCCATTGCTCGGGTGGCCACAGCTGAGCTCTGGATGAGCATCTCTCGCCTGCGGCTTTCCCACCAGTGCCCACAAAGCTCTCAGTCTCCCCCACAGGCTTTGTGCTCTTGTCTCTGCATTGTGATCTGGCCAGGTTACACCACAGGCAGAAGGGTTATTGGGCTGTCACTGAAATTCTAAAACAATACATTCCCCTCTCCAGAGATTTTTTTTTTCTAAGTAAGAAAATACCAAGAACATACTCTGGGCTCCAGTGTCCTGTCTTGTCAGCCGTTGCCACAAAAATGGGTCGCTCACCTTTGGGAAGTACAATATACTTAATGTGGGTTCAGTGTAAAAAAAATGCGTAAAGGGGGAAAGCAGGTATTTTATTTTTGTTTTTTTTACAAATCTGTATTTCTTTCAGCTATTCTCATTCTTCCTAAATAACCCCCATACTTCCTTTATATTGCATTTTTAAAAAAAGGATAGATTGTCTTTCCACAGAATTGTAATCTCTGGGAAAAAAGGCAATAATGCTGAGACAAGATGCTTTCTTTAATTTACTCTAAAGGAGATTCAAAGACAGCAGCATTAATAACATGAAAAGTATAAGAGCAGGCTTTAGGAAGAAGCATCTAGTATATTACTTTCAAGTAATCTCTCTTAAATGATCCCAGTTTTATAGTCATTTTTTTCTCTTAAAAACTAAAAACTACATACATGTAATTTTATCATCATGTTAAAAATGTAATATAGAAAACTGCATGATAGAAATTTTAATTCTAAATAAGCTAAGCAGTTGAAAGTTCAGCTCTTTATTTAAAAAAAATTAACATTACAGAACGGCAAGATGTTAAAACTTCTCAAATCAAAATTTAAAATCACAAACCAAGTTTAAAAATTATGATTCAAATAGCTTAGAAATCAAAAGTGCAAAAACACTTGATTGCTCCTGCAGCTAACCTTTATCTTGGCTCGAAAAAGCAGCAGATAATAGGTGATACAGTACCTTAGGGACTGGATGAGCTGAAGAAACTGCAGCCGGCAAAACTATACTGTGTGAAGTATCTCTTTGTCTCCGGAAAAAGAAATTTCTTCTTTGTTGACTGCTTGACTGCTTGTGTGAGTAGATATGATTGAGTGGTAAAGAGAAGATTCTATGACAACCTAGGAGTAAAAAGAGACATATTTTAACTAAAAAAAACAAAACAAAAAAACTAACATTGTGCTACATTTTAAGATGTTGCGTTGTTGCCTATTAAATCATGATTCTAATCCTTTACTGGCTCAAAAAGGAAAAGCTCCAAATAGGAAGAAAAGCAGTGGTATTCTCAGTGCTAATACAATAGTAGCACAGCATATTTATTAGCTAATACTATGTTTACGTAAATGTTTGACAATGGAAAACTCTATTCTAATGGGAAACAAACATATAGAAACATCTGCTGAACACCAGGTCTGTAAAAAGAACAATTTCTGCTGTGGTACCTTACGCAAAAATGTACCGGATGACCCTAGATTGGAGACGCTGTTTGGGTGGCTTTTCATCCTTTAAAGCCGAGAAGAATCATGGACAAATTGCCAGCTGCACTTTTTTGCCCTCAACCGGATTACTATTCTGTGTTAAGTTCATGTGCAGTGAGGCATCATACTGAAATTCACTGTGATGAATGCTCAAGTCAAATAAAGACTAGATAGCAAAAATGTAGGCTGAAACCCTAAAAGAAAATGAATATAGGGTCTTATATTACTCACAACAGGAATTCTGAAATATCTATCAACATTTTATTATGTGTGTGTGTGTGTGTTTTGTTAATCCTCACCTGAGGGTATTTTTCCCTTAATTTTTAGAGAGTGGAAGGGAGGGAGTTTGGAGGGGGGAGAGAGAGAAACATCGATGTGAGAGACACATGGATTGATTGCCTCCCGCATAGCCCTGGGGATCACACCTGCAACCCAGGTATGTGCCCTTGACAGGAAATCAAAACCACAACCCTTCCGTCCGTCCTTGTGCCGACACTCTAACTGCTGGGCCAAACCAGCCAGGGCTCTATCAACATTTTAAATGCATATATCCTTTGACACAGCAATTCACTATCCTAAGACTTTATCTTGCAGATATTATATATAATGATGGTATATGAAGATGAACCTTACTGCAGCATTGTGGTAGAAAAAATGGTAAATAACCCAAACGTCCATTAGTAGGGCACTAGAATTTTATGGTATATCTACATAACAGAAAACTGTGGACCTATTAAAGAGAATGGCTAAATCATCTCTAAGTATTGATATGGAAAGCGGTCACAGTACATTGTTAGGAAAGCAGCAAATGCTGATGTATAAAATGCCCATTAATGTAAAGAGAGTTTATGCATTTATATAAGCTTGAATATGCCTATAATATTTCTGAAACTTATATTCATCAATAGTGGTTATTTCTGGGGCATGTGATTTGGGCTGGGGACAAAACTGTTAGATTTTTTTAAAAACCATTCACTTACATAACTTTTATAATTAAGACAGTAGTTTTTAAAATCTCCAATATGCCCAGCTGGTGTGGCTCAGTGGTTGAGCATCGACCCATGCACCAAGAGGTCACTGGTTCAATTCCCGGTCAGGGCACATGCCCAGGTTGTGGGCCAAATCCCCAGTGGGGGGGCATGCAAGAGGCAGCCAATCAATGTTCTCTCTCATCATGTTTCTCTCTCCCTCTCCTTTCCTCTCTCTCTAAAATCAATAAAGAAAAAAATTTTTTTTTAATAAAAATCTCCAACATGTCATAATTGCATGTCAGGGGTCAGCAAACTACAGCCCAAAAGCCAAACCTGGCCTGCTGCCTGTTTTTATACAGCCCACCACCTAAAAATGATTTTTATGTTTATAAATGGCTGGAAAAAAAAGAAAAATAATATTTTGTAACATATGAAATTCAAATATCAGTGTTTCCAAATAAAAACTTATTGGAACAAAGCTATCCCTATTTGCTTTCAATTGTCCATGGCTGCTTTTGAGCAAGAGGGGCAGAGCTAAGAAGTTGTGACAGATCTGGCCCTCTACAGAAGTTTGCTGACTCCTAATCTAGAGCACTGGTTCTTTCTTTCTCAATTCATTCATTCATTCATTCATTCTTTAATCCTCACCTGAGGATATTTTTCCATTTATCTTCAGATAGAGTGGGAGGGAAAGGGAGAGAGAGAGAGAGAGAGAAACATCGATGTGAAAGAGACGCATCGACTGGTTGCCTCCCTCATGACCCTAACCAGAGCCAGGGACGAACTGCAAATGAGGTACGTGCCCTTGACCAGAATCGAATCCGAGACTGTTTGGTCCACTGGCCGATGCTCTAACCGCTAAGCAAAACCAGCCAGGACTACAGCACTGGTTCTTAAAATGTGGTACCCAGACCAGTAGTATTAGCGTCATATGGAAAGAGATGCAAATTCCTGGGTCCCTCCTCAATCTTACTGATTCAGAAACTCTGAAATAAGGCCAGCAATCTGTGCTTTAACAAGCCCTCAGGGTGATTCTGAGGCACACACAAGTCTGAGATGTACTGGCCTGGAGTAAGTATAATTCAGCTGGGAAACATAATGGAAACATAAAATGCAGATGAATACTGGCCCTAAAATCCAAGATCTCTAAGTGATTTGGAAAAAGGCACGGATACAAACAAACCACAGTGGTCAGTGACTGAATATAATGTTTTACCCAATTACGTTATTCCATGAAGTTCAGTTTAATATTGTTGAATTAAACTTGAAGAGGTGTTTTGGGTATTACTTTAAATAATTCCAAATACCAAACAAAAAATTTCAATAATATCACTTACAAAAAAAAAAAAAACCGCCCTGGCCAGTTTGGCTCAGCGGTTAGAGCGTCGGCCTGCGGTCCGGAGAGACCCGGGTTCGGTTCCCGCTAAGGGCACGTACTTCGGTTGCAGTTTGTCCCCGGCCTTGGTTGGTCGTGCGGGTGGCAGCCACTCGATGTGTCCCTTCACATCGATGTTTCTCTCTCTCTCTCCCTTCCTCTCTCTCCCTCCCACTCTATCTGTACAAAAAATGGAAAAATATCCTCAGGTGAGGATTAAAAAAAAAAAAAATACCCTACCCTGGCCAGTGTTGCTCAGTGGTTAGAGCGTCAGCCCACACACAGCCATGGGTTAGATTCCCAGTCAAGGGTGCACACCTGAGTTGCAGGTTTGATCCCGGGCCCTGTTTGGGGCACAAGCAACCAATCAATGTGTCTGTCTCCCATTGATGTTTCTCTCTCTCTCTCTCCCCCCTTCCATCCCTCCCTTCCACTCTCTGTAAGAATCAATGAAAAAAATATCCTTGGGTGAAGATTAACAACAATAACAACAAAAAAATAGTAGCTTAAGGTATGTACATATCCTCTAAAGCTTGTAAAATACAATATTTCCCTAAAGACATCACTATTTCAAGATTGTCACGTGGTATATGAGTGTCAGGGTAGTATCCTAGGAAAAGCAGATGATTAGAAAACAGAAGTCTGGAGTTTTCTCTCAGCTCTACCACTCGCTAGCTGTGTGGTCCTGAGCAAGTTTCTTCTTTTGGATTTCAGGTGAGAATTAACTGGAATACAGTATGAATTTAGTAGATGCTCAATAAATGATAGTTTCTTCAAGAACACGGAAAATGTAAAATGAGAGACCTGGCCGGTTTGGTTCACTGGTTAGAGTGTCAGCCTGTGGACCAAGAGTCAAGGATTCGATTCCAGTCAAGGGCAGGGACCTCGGTTGCAGTTCATCCCTGGCCCTGGTTGGGTCCTATGGGAAGCAGCCAGTCAATGTGTCCCTCTCATGTCGATGTTTCTCTCTCCCTCCCTTGCAGTCTATCTGAGGATAAATGGAAAAATATCCTCAGGTGAGGATTAAAAAAAAAAGTAAAATAAGAAAGAAAACACAGGCTCCGATACAGCTTCTAATACTGAGCACTTATGTGTCAATTACTGTACTAGGCACTTTATATCTGTTAGCTGATTAATCTCCTGAGGACCCTATGAGTTGTAAACTGTTATTACTCCATTCCACAGTTGAAGATAGTGAGACACAAAAGGTAACTTCCGTGGGGACATGCAGTAGGTGCTAAAGCTGAGGGAAAGCAGGTCAAGTTGCTCCCACAAAGTATATTACTTCTTTTACGTGCATGAGAAAAAATAAGCTAACATACATGGAAATACCCACAAAGGCACCATAACACTATCATAAGTTACAACTATTATTATTTTTTCAAAGGTGGTTATGGGTTGACTTAGTCCATCTACTCTCTCAAGACAGGCTCCCTTTGTGGACCAAGCACGTGGTTCAGGAGAAGCTGGTTGGGCAGTCTGTGGATATGGAATGAAAAATCTGGGTCCCAGCTGAAGCAAAGCACTCAGGTGGAACAAATCTATGACCATGGGCCCCCTGCACTAGAAGGTTGGACCAAAGACATAGTTTTCTGAGGAAAGTATGTATGTATTATGATTACTATTAATAATGACAACACTGATAGAAATAGTGACAATAATAGTGGTTAACATTTAAGGGCCACATTCTTTGAGTAAGCACAGTGCTAGGTGTTCTAGATACATTATCTCTTGCCCACTCTGTCAGGTGGGCAGGGAGCTGTTGACGTCACTATTTTACAGATGAGGAAGTAAGGCTCAATCTCTGGTGATGGGTCAATGGCTGGCCCTGCCTCAAGTCTAAGTCCAAGGCTGTGTCTGCCACTCCAAGCAGCCTTTCAGCAATGCGCAGGGGCGCTAGTAGCTACCATGCTTTTTTTTTTTTTCCTTTTATTGATTTATAGAGAGAGGAAGGGAGAGGGAGAGAGAGATAGAAGTATCGATGAGAAAGAATATCCATTGGCTACCTCCTGCATGCCCCCCACTGGGGATTGGACCCACAACCTGGGAATGTGCCCTGACTGGGAATCAAACCAACGACCTCTTGGCGCAGGGGTCAATGCTCGACCACTGAACCACACCGGAGGGGCAGCATACTTTGTTTTAGAGTGTGTTTTTTCAGGGAATTTATTTTTGAGGAACGTTTTTTTTAATAATGAAAAAAAAAATATCATGGGATCAGCCAACATTTAGAATAAAGGTATTTTTCATAAAAATTCTTAGAAATGACCTAATCGAGAAGCATTGTGCTAGTGAAA